ATGGATGGGTGCTGCCACCTGCTTGGGATCCTATAATTAACAAAATTAAACCCAAACCTAAGCATACCACTGCAAGACTTCATGATACTATAAGCTCGTTTTGCGTAAATCGGACCAAAAATTAATATTCAAAAACTGAAGGTAGCCGGACTAACTATGACATTGGGACGTCAAACATCTCAGTCCCCCCCCCCTCCGTGACCATGGTTGCTGTAAAGCACCCGAAACGTCGGGAATTAAAAATAAGTAAAAATAGTGAAATAAATGCGATAAAATCCGTAAATTTAGTTTTATTCAATGTGTAGTGTTCGCGTAAATTTAAGAAATCATTATGTATTACGTGTAGTGCCTATTTTGTGACGAGTTTTTTCGTATCATCAATGTTAGAGATTTTAACCAAACTGATATTTTTAATTTTAATTCATTTTTGTCAATTTTGTATATATTTAACTACTTATTAATCTTATTGTATAAACGACAGCTGGTTGCATTACACTGACGTCCTGAGAAAGCTGTTCCACATAAACGTACTGGACACACAGGAAAACTTATACGTCGCTTAAGGATATGAGGTTCTAAAGTAAATTGTGAATGTTTTCAAAGCATTGTGCGAAGAACAACCTAACCCAACCTAACTGCCTAACCGTTAGAACATCACATACTTTGTAGAGGTCAACAGTAGGGTGCATTCTATGTTTGTTCATTATGAACTTGAGCTCTGATTTTTGTGTTCTCTCGAGGTGTTGTTTGTTGTTGCAGTTATGGATACCACCCCAAACTGGTATGCATTACGTTAAAATGGATTGGCATAGACACGTATAAACCATTTTCAATGTATCCACATTTGCACAGTGGCGAAGATTTTTGAATATATAAATTAGCCTTCTGATCCTTCTGTTACTAACAGAATTGAGAATCCTTCTGTAACTTAGTTTTTGGTCAATATAGATGCTAGATATTTAGTTTGCGACATGGCAGAAAGTGAGACACAATTGCAGTCAGCGTTTTGCAGTGAACACTGATGGGCATTGATAGAATTGACATTTTCAGAAATTGAGGCAGTCTTAGATATATCAAAGCGTATAAATTGTGTCTGCAATATTGAGGGTCAGTAAGATTGATGATAACCAAAGCATAACTTCTTCCAGAGCCTATTGTGCATAATGTTTAGCGCAAATGCAATCTACACTCCAAACCACTAAGGCTAGTCGTCAGCATAGGTGAATCCGACAATTTTCTAGCTGAATTCTACACAAATCATTGATGTAGATTCAAAAGAACGTGGGGCCTTGAATGCTTCCCTGGGGCACGCAAAACTCTATATTTTTCATAGAAGAGGAGGCAAACGAGCATGCAGCTCACCTGATGGTAAGTGACTACTGCTGTCCATGGACAACCGCAACACCAGGGGGATTGCAGGTGCGTTGCCGGCCTATTAGAAAGGAGTAAGCTCTTTTCTTGAATGTCCCTGTATGTACTCTTCGTCGCTGTAATTATCATCAATTTTTAAGCATTTGGCTCTCTTAATCTTTGAAAATACCAAAGGGCAGACCACGAATAACAACTTACTTCCTTATGACACATGTGATTATCTTTACTTAAATAAAAATAAATAAAATTTAAATGTCTGTTTGTAATGTAAAAATAACAGCGTTTTACTAAATGCATATGAAAGTATATAACGTACGTAACGGTACTTATAATAAACAAAACATTTCAAAATGTGCGTCTGTCTGTATGTCTGTCTGTCTGGCTGTCTGTCTGTCTGTCTGTTTGTTTCGGCTTATCTCCGAAATGACTAAACCGGTTATGACGGGACTTTTACTGGCAGGTAGCTGATGTTATAAGAAGTAACTTAGGCTACTTTTATTTTTAAAAAATCCTAACCACTCGTGTAATCTAATCCACGTAAATATATTCGTAAAAAATTCCACGCGGACGGATTGGCGGCGAAAAGCTAGTGATAAATAAATGTATAATAAATTAATATAAAAAGGACACTCATTACAATTCCTTAGCCTTTCATCAATTGACATTTCAACTGTAAATATTATATTTCATTTATGGAAGATTTTTTTATATAACTTCATAAAAACGTAAAACGACAATTAAGTTATAAACACCGTCATAAAAGAAGATATTTATAAACAGATCCTATAATGACTATGAGAAAAATTGACGTTATTTGCTGGTATTTCCATACAATTTTTACGTAGAATTTTTATAGCAGGTAAATTATTTTAGCTGACTTCTAAGAGGAGGAGGTTCTAAACTGGTGTATATGTTCTTTTTGTAAGTATATTACGCGATATTTGCCAATTTTGACCCATAAATTCAAGAATGATTCCGCTTAAATTTGAAAAAAATAAAAACGTTGTAAAAAAATGGAAGTTAAGATTTTATTTTAACAGTTTAGATGATATTCTAATTGCTACCTTTAGCAAGTGATATTACTTAGAACTCAAAACTGAGTATTAGTATATACAGGTAGACTGGGAGAAAAAATTACCTAGATCCCTTTTTTAATAGGATTTTTACGTGGTAGAGCCACGCTGCAACTATATTATAGACCGTGGCAGGACCACGCTCTCACAGAAAACCAGCGTAAAATAGCAGTTTTTCGTATGGTGAGTGTAGACAACCGGAGACTCGTTTTACTGGAATTGAGGCATTCCATCTTAGTCCTCAGGGGTGACAACACATCTGCATTTTGATTCTGAATAGAATGTAGAAGTCTATGGGTCACAGCATCCACTTACCATCAGGTGGAATGTGTACTCGTTTGTCACCCTTATCTTATTAAAAAAAAACTAGATCCCTCTCAATGCTATCCATCTCTTCGTAAAGTTTCATTACAATCAGTTCAACTATTTCAAATATTAGCCCGGACAAACAGAGACAGACGGAGAAAACAGACGGACAGAAAAAAAATGTTGCCTGTTTTGATTTTAAAAATAGTTACTTATGTTATTCTTCTAAGCAAATAACACGGTCAGAAATTTGTACTTTATTTATGTTTAGATACATTCAGTTACGATTTTAATTGCTTACTAATAAGTGAGCAGGCCAATATAGTAGAATTATTATTTTTTAAAACCATTTTCCCTTCATATTTAAATAAAATGAACATACGAACAAGAGTTCAACGTAAATCAAAATAATTTGTTCAATAAAAAATTAAACTATGACGCTACCAGTATTTAAAATCGTTTACCTTCCAGATATTCCATAATAGAATCGTTTAAAAGATGTATCAAATGCAATTCTTATTTGTTAAGTCTTTTTGAAAATATCTTTTTAAATATAATTTATATCCACTTCTATTTATCACTAAAATCCCCCTAAACGGCTCTACCGGTTTTAATAAAAAAAAATTATGTGAGTTTGATTAGCCCAACGGATTAGTAATCTGAAGTGGCAATGAGCCCGCCCTATAGTTCGTAGAACCGACAGCCGATGGGGAAAAGGTTCTCGAGTGGCAGTTTCGTACCAGCAGGCGAAATATAGGTCAGCCCCCCACTAAATGGAGTAACGCCCTGGTAAGACTTGCAGGAAGTTGATGGGTGCAGGTGGCTCAGAACCGTGCTTTGTGGCATTCCTTGGAGGAGGCCTGCAGTAAACTTGTGAAAGCTATACTATAACTATAGGGCCGGCACATTGCCACTTCAGCATACTGAACCGTTGGGCTATAACGGTTACTCTAGTTCTACTGCGGATATCCTCATTTTTAAGTCTATCACGCAGAAAAACTCTGAACATAGCCCTCTCCATAGCTCGCTGAGCGACCTTGAGCTTCCTCACACAACCAGCAGTGAAGGACCACGTCTAAGATCCCTAAGTCATCACTCGCAACACGCACTACTTTTAAAATTACGTTTTCTAGTTTTGAGGCATGTCTGACGAGAAGATGTGTCGTAATCTCCCGAAAGTTGCTCAGTTTTGTTGAATCCGTCAATTGACCTCTCAGTAGAAGTTGGAATTACTTAGTCGAACTATTTATCCCAGGTAAACAAACTCGTCAACTACTTCGAGGTTAGTGCTCCCTAAATGCTACCGGCATAGCAGACATGTGACATGGACGTTACACATGACCTTTGTTGTTTTATTCATGTTATGAAGCTCAATAAGACTTTTCGTTGAAAGACACCATTGCGGTCATTAAGTATAATACTAATTTATTATATTATGAGGCAGTCTGTAATTAATATAATAAAATACTAAACCGATTGACGTAACATTCACACAGGGTAATTTGTTTTCTTGAGACGATGTTCATAGCTATACATATAAGGATCCAATAGCTGGCGCTGCAGTCAGATTATAAACAAATCCTTTGACTGTGCACCAAAATGACTCATGTTTGTAATAGAAAAAATATAAAAAAATCTGTAGGCAAGAATTGGGTGACAAACTAGCACACAGTTCACCTGATGATAAGTGGATGCTGTGGCCCATAGACATATACATTTGTCCTCGATTTAGAATCAAAATGCAGATGCGTTGTCACCCCTGAGGACTAAGATGGAATGCCTCGTTTCCATTAAGTAAGGGTCTCCGGATCTCTACACTCACCATAAGAAACGCAGCAGAATAAAGTGTTTCGTATGGAGCAGTTTGTGACCCTTCTATAAAAAAGAAGGTCTAACCGCAACAACTTGGGCGTATTCAAAATAGCTAATTTTGAATACGCCCAAGTTGTTCATATTTGCATTGCGCAAATAATATAAACACCATGTCTCCGAATTTTGTACAATGCCCTAGACTCTAGTGTGACCCAATCGTCTTTCCAGAATCTGCCGACACTTTCTCTTTTGTGTGTATGTAAATTTATCATAACACAAAGTACTTCACAAAACATACCAAGAGGGGTCGCTTTTTAGTGATAAAACCGCTTTATTATACCTACCTCCTAAGTTTTCCTCCTGTAACCTTTTTTTGTTTAGTAGTGTACAAAAATATATACGTATGTGCATATTACTAATTATAAAATAGGTACTTACGTGAATCATATTTAAAAGCTCACTGTTAGTATCTGAAACAAGTGCGAATTTCGTCATGCAGTACACGCCGTCCGGCTCACTCATACATGGCGCGTAGTCTTCAAAGTGAAATACTGGCGGCATTTTGTAGTACATTGTGTCTGTGAAAGAAGTTCAAAAGGTTCAGTTAAAAAAATTCAAATGAATATACTGAATTTTGATGATACTTTTGTATCTTCACTGGTTTCAATGAAATATTTAATTGCAATTCTAACTTCTGATTTACTACATAGTGAAAAAAAGTAAGAGCGTTTTTCCAAACACTCGGCAGATTATTATATGTAAAAAGTAAAGGAAATGGAATTCAGAAAAAAAAATTCAAAATTAGGGGGTTGATAAATATCTGAATGTGTGAAAATCCAATGGATCATTAAAATCAAATATTGAATAGTAGTGCATGAGCACTACTTACTAAATTTTGAATCTAATGATTTAGATTTTTTCAAACGTTAGGCACACTTTAAAAGTTAGGATAAGCAGATTCATAAATACTTGTACAGTAAAATTAAGATGAGCCTGTAAACGCGTACATGCGTACATTATAAGTTGGCGGCTTTGAGGTGGCTCAATAGTCAAATACAAAGAATGTTAAATTAATGAAATGATGAAAAAAACAGACTATTCTAAATAAAACTAAATTCTGTATTGTTCTCAGCAAAAATTATTGCTGTGGTTAGCTTAATAACATAAAAAAGCTTTATTACTGCTTTTATGAACTTCTAAATATAACCGTTCAAATCTCTAAATACCGCATAATTTAGTCATAGCGATCTAAAAACTTAAATCGTAACGTTGTGGGCTGATTTAGCACTGAAAAGTTATTCAGATCATGTTTTATAATTAGAGCTGTGTAGATTTATTGCTACAATTTTAGCTTTTTATATATTTGTCATATATGGAGTACATAAGGCTGCATATATTAAAAAGCCTTGCTTTTTAAATGCAAAGTCCTAACCCTAGTGTCTTTATTCGCTATCAATTATCAGTTGTACGATCCCGAAGATGAGGACGTAGTTATAACAAGATTTGGATTAGTTATTTTTATAGATGAGTGAAAACAAGCGCACGGTCAACACTCGTAATTCTGTGCGCGGCCCATAAGCACCTATAGCTATGATTAATTAAAAATAAAAAATGTAATGTAGTATCACTTCTAAAGTCCAGTAAAATGTGTCTTTATCGGTAAAAAGTGTCTATGATTGTCTTCATTCTAACTCTAATTCCCGCCATTAACAGACTTTTCTTAAAAAAGAGGATTTTTCGAGAATTTTTGCGGTTACCCTCAGAAAGCAAAACTCCACACGACTATGGTTTTCCACATACTACATACGTAATTCCGAAACGAAACGGACGAGTCAACCACACACATACGGAATCCTGTTTTGGCCGCAAAAATTCGAACGGAAAATTCCCGTATGTATGTGATGGGTCCTTGATTTTATGTGGACGTGCTGCGTTGGGAATCCCGAATCGGAATCCCCAATTGGAGTCCCGAATCGGAATTCCGAAACGGAATCCAGAAAATCTCGGAATTCCATATGTACGTGATAGGCCTTAATGGTAGTACTGATACAGCCACAACACAGCATATAAAGTGCATTTTGTTAATCCTCCCGGTGTCTGGGCTTATGTACAATAACAAATGAAACACATAATTTAAAAATGTTTTTTGTTGTATATTTTGACACAACGTTGCATTCGAACATGCGCCTTTTTTTCGCCTTAAAAACAGCGCCATCTGTTGAACTTACAAGTAACCCTTTTTCCATACTAGGCCACAGCAATATTATGTGACCAGTACCAGTTACAGCTAGTAAATAAAAAGTCAGAATAGAAGTCATGTTTATAACTCTATTTTCTCTACTGTAAAACAGTCTACGGGGCTTAATAAAAAGAGGTGAAGCTAAATTAGTGATATTTAAAATTGTTGTCTGTCAATTTAAAAATCTGCTGGAAGAATTTACATGAAATTTGGTATGAAGGTAGTTAATGATCTTAGACAACGGAATATAGGCTAGTACTTATACATAATATATGGCAGTGCAAAAAGAGGCGGTATGTCTTTCCTTTTTTTAGATGTTTATTTTCATAAATCTGTTAATTCTCGTGTACGGGAGAAATAAATATGGTAAGGGGATTATGATAGAAAGCAGCGGCATAGAACGGTATCGTCTTCAGCAGAAAAAGAGAAAGCTGTCGACCCCAACCCCCAAAATGACTTAACCAAAGCTTAGGATGAGCGTAATGCAAGTAAATCTCGCGGCAGTTGCGTCTATTGAAATGTAATGCTGCTTTGCAAAAGAGATTATTGAAATATCCTTGTGTGGCCTACGATCAAGTTCTTAGACTGTCTGCTGCTGGTAATATTTTGGTCAGTGCCAAAGGCAACGGACCCAGATTACGTATTATATACAGTGCACCAACAGCCTCCATAAATCTGAAGGGATGGACAGTGGCCAAAGCAGTCATACTCAAACTTTTTTTTAGGGGCCACAAACACGTTTCAGTCATGGTGACGACGGCCGCAAGTAAAAATTATTTAGATCTTAATTAAAACGTAATTCCAAGTTAACGCTTTATTTAATTTATTAATAAAAAAAGAATTAACAAAGATGTTTATATGTTTTAATGCGATTTTTGACACTGTGAACACTTTTTTAAAACTTTTTCAAGATCTGGCTTGTCGCTACATGCTATCCTTATTACATCATCAAGATAAGAATCTGTAAGTTTGTTTCTGTACATGTTAGTAGACCCGAAGAATGTTAGTAGTATTTAGGCACATTTTTAGACGCTTTTACATTTTTGGGGAACAATACTCCAAAATTCCACATATTCCCTGTCTTTATCCTTTATCTTTAAACAAAACTTCTAGATTGGTGTCGTTTTTAAAATCGATGTATTCTTCAAACAACTCGGAGTAATCACAATTCAAAACTGAATCCAACTCTGAGATAGTCATTGTTTGTAAATACCATGTATTTTCTATAAGTAACTAACTTTTTGGTTTTTCTTAGATCTTGGAACCTTTTTCGAAAGTCCTTTAAAAGTGCAGTTACATAATTTGAAATTATGGAGCAGTTTTCTTCCAAAATGTTGGTACCATCCTTTGTAGTTTTTATCATAGTTTGAAAATTTTGCAGCTGTTTGTTCTGTATTTCTTCATAAAAAAAATTAATAAATGCTTAGCTTTTCCTCAAATACAAATACTTTATTTGCCATAGTAGAGACCATATTATTTTCAACTGTAAAAAAAGTTTTTCCGTAATATTACATAGAAATGCTAAAATACATCACCATTCTTCATTTTGTAAATCGGGGTACACTTTATTATTTTGCTCTAAAATCAGTATTATTTCATGCTGTAAAGAAAAAACCTTTAAAACATTTTCCTCTACTAAGCCATCGCACCGAGGTATATAAAAGGACGTCGTAATACTGACTTACCAGTTCTTCCAGAAGGCTTTAAAATCTTCTGTGGTTCAATTCTTATGCTTGTATATAATTAACAATATAAATAACTGTCTTCATTACAGCTTCGATTTATGGATTTACAACACACGCCACCAAGTTTTCTTGGTGGATAATGCAATTAAATGTTATTAAATTAGTTAAATTATATTTTTCCTTAAATAACGAAATATATCCATTCTCGGATCCAGTCATTGTAAGACAACCATCTTGTACACAGACACACACACAATTTTTGTGTGTCAATTTCATTAATTCTAAAAAATTGCAAACAGTATCAAGGTAATCTGTGCTTCGGGTTTTAACTTTCATTGGTAGTAATTTCAAAAAAAATCCTGTATTAAATTATTTTATGTAGAATATATAACAAACAGCGAGCATTGCGATGTTGCTGAAATGTCGGTGCTGGAAGCGAATGTCAAGCTAAAAAATTTGCACTTTCTTAGGTTAACTAATATACCTATCATCGCAAGTTAGTTTAGAAATGTCTTCAATACACCTCATACAGATTGAGTCCGAGAGCTGTAGTTTTTTATATCAGATAGTATTTGCTTTTTGTTACTGAATTTATCAAAAAGTATATTGGCAGCACTAACGAAGTATTCCTTTACAATTTCTACATCGGTAAATGGTTTCATATGCTTACCAAGAATGTAAAAAACTTTATATGATGCCTTAGTTACCGCGGAGTCTTTGATAATGCCACAGACATCATTTTATTATTGGTGCAATGATCTCTTAAAAAAACTCAAATTTCTCAATTCTCAAGGAGGATCCAGGAGAAAACGTTTCGTCGAAAGATTTATGTTTTGTGGTAAAATGACGCAAAATATTTTATTTCTACAATATAATATTTTCACGATATATATCAAACAAGTAGCTACATTGTTTTTGTATATCACAACAAAATAATCCGTTTCCCATTCATCTTAAAACAATCTATTTTCACTAGATATTTTTCTTTTAAACTAAGAAGACACTCCTGACATTATTTTGAAAATAAAATAATAATTGTATTACAAAGAACACAATTAACTGCATTTACTAAGTTAGATTAGCTTTGAATTGATTAGGTATTTATCTATCTATTACCACCACAACGTAACATTCGAGTAATTTTTTCGTATACTTGTTTCGTATACGTATTAATTCGTAACATTAGGTAGTTAAGTTTCGGGAGCGCTACTGAAGCTTTTTTTTAAATTACAAATGTGTTTCGATGACATTTAATAACTATTAGATTACAATTATGTATTAAAACTAATTCAGTGCAATACTGACTTACTTAACTAAGTGATTACGTGACTACGATTAGTTCTATAATGCATTTTATTCTACGGCTCATATATAATGGTCAAAACAATGTCCATTAACTGAAACTATGACGCCTTTGTTTGACCAGCAATAACAATTATACAGTGAAGTCAGAGTTTTCTGTAACGTTATACTTCATAACATGTTTTCAGTAATCCAATATTAAAAACTAATTAGGTACAATCCGTGATAAACACGTTTTTGTAAAATTATGGGTACTTGAAATTGAAAGTATCGCGTTTACAAGTAATCTAATACCAAAAGCTTAGTCAGAGCAACTTGCGCTGTTGCTGTTTTTTAAATAACTTTGAGATAA